GTGGTGCTGCTGAGCTGGTAGAAGATCTAGGCGTGAGTGGTGTAGGCTGTGTCACGGCGACTGGGGAGGACATTCAGATTAGGATTGCTTTGTGTGCTTCTTCTTCGGGTTCAGGGAACCGAGTGCCGCCTGCAGCGTCTGTGCCAGTCACTTTTAAAGCCCTAGTTGCCCCCGATGTCCGTTTCAGTTTGCTTTCCCTGGGTCTTCTCTTGAGCAAAGGTTGGTCTGTTGACTTTGGGTCCGAGCCTAGGGTTTTTGGTCCGAAGATGTCACGGGGAAGACCCAGATCAGAACTCCGAGTGGAGAAGTTTCAGAACTGTTTCTGGTTGGTTTGCAGCGCCGGTAGCATCTCGCAAGTGACCGCTGTTATGCCCGAGATCAGTGCGCCTGAGCCCTCCTCATCTTCCTTTTGCTCCCAATTCCTCCCGATGGCATCCAGCTCCGACTCCGAGGGTGCAACGAAGGAGCCCAGGCTGCGGAGGACCACCCGAACCAATCGTCAACGTTGAAGGGGTTAGGGTCGGGGATGACGGTCGAGGGGTCAGGGGTGACAGCACAGGGAGAGAGGGTTGCGACACAGGGCACGAAGGTCGAGACACAGGGGTGAGCAGGGTTAGCGCCAGGGGTGCCGGAGGGTCCAGCGAATCCACTACAGGAAGAAGACGAGATGGTGGATGTGGTCGTGGAGGTCGAGGAGGCTTCAGCACCGGCGGCTCCGAAGGCGCCGGCGGCTTCGAAGGCGAAGGAGTCTGCGAAGACCAAAGGGGACGCGGCCGGGGCGGCGATTGCCAAAGGCCAGGGGGTGGAAAAGGGAGTGTTGGCAAGCACAAGGGCAAGGACCTGTCAAGGCAATTCCGTCGGCAGCGAGCGCGCCAAGCAGATCCTGGAGGCCCCTCCGCTTGATGCCCAAGACGCGGAAGGTACACTTGAAGCCGAGGCAAGGAGCGATGGCGAAACCCGCTACCAAGGCCAAGTCGGTCCGGGATCAGGGAACTCAAACGCCTCCGATCCAGACCTTGCAAGGACATGCCGATTGTCACCAAGCTTTGGAGGCTCGTGCTCGGAGCTTCGCCATGGTTCTCGAGCGGAACAACATGCCGGACAGCTACGAGTGCCACTTTCCGCAGTGCAGGGCCGTGATAGTGGTCACGCATCGCACGAGTTTCACGTCGCCCATGCCAGACCACCGGGCGAGCCATCCTCCACCGCCAGCGCCACCAGCACCGAGCGGACCGCCAACGCCGAGCGACTTCTCTGCGGTAACGGGGCCGGGGCATACGCCACAGACGCCTCCGGGGGACATTGTGATGGAGACACGGGCTCCAACAACACCGCCGGGGACAGGGGCTATGGCATCGGGGTCGGCAACAGCTGTGCCCAGAGCTCCGGACACAACGCCGCCGAGGACCACTTTGAGCACCAAGCGCCGCGCCACCGAAGACGCCACCGTCGGAAAGACCAGTTGCCCCAGCTGTACCGCCACCGACCCGCCTTGCAGAGCCCAACCTTGTGCCAAACACGGCGGCGCCAAAGACGGGGCGCCGACTGCCAGCTGGGACGACCTCTAGGGGAACAACCTG